TAAGGTTTTAAGCAAAAAAGTATCAGAGTTCTTGTACTTAGTTATAGTAGAATACACCTACATCATCTTTGAGCGAAAACTAGAATTTTTCATCGAAAACCGAGGTTTTCCAGAAAACCAAAAATTTGAAAGTTCTCAAAACCTCAAAAGAACTTCACGGTTGGATAGAGCGTACTCGATAATCTATGAAAATGTGTTTCTTGCTATTTTAAAGCTGATAGTTCTCTTATAAAAGCACATGTCCGCGTGCTCTAGCCAAAAATGCCCACTGTGAGGTGACTGTTTTTTTCAGAAAGATGTGCCGCGAAAAGCTCTACAAAACCATACCTAAACTTTAATTTTAGAGCTTCATTCAAGAAAACTACACAGATTATATTAAATTGACGCATGATCTATCGTGGAAATGTCATATCGACAATATAGCTTCAAATTGTCGAAAAATGCTTGGCTCCATTTTCCGTGTCTTCCGCGATTCTCCTAATTCTCTTCGTCTTCATCTTTATGAAACCTGCGTACGTCCAACTTTGGAGCACTGCTGCATTCTATATGATACGTCTTACATTTCTCATCTCTCTGTGTTAGATAACGTACAAAAGTTGGCTTGTAGAATAATCCTTAGAGATTATGACAGTCGTTCCTCGCAACTTCTCACTCGGCTAAATTTAGCGCCGCTCTCCGCTCGTCGAAAATATTTTCGCCTTGCTTATTTTCACAAACTATACAACGGGAGAAGTGCTTTGTCTGCTAGAAACCTAATTACTCCGCCAACAAATCGACGGTCGTCTAGAATAACGCATGATAAACAAATTCAAAAACCTTACTATTCCCTAAAGTCTGCTTCGGGGTCATTTTTTCCCCGTACCTCTGACGACTGGAATGTGCTACCATGCACTGTTGTGAATCAAACCAGTCACAGAATCTATAAGGGTCTTTTGAAGCAGCATCTTCAACTTTTATAATTTATCTGTTACTTGTTCTTTTAGTATTTCTTTATTTCTTCACTTTTTTCGGTGTTGCATTAGCATAAGCTAGCCTTTCTTTGCAACAACCATGCTTGCAAAAATAAAAATTCAGTTCAGTTCAGTTCAGCAGTAGAGCTGAAAATAATTGTCATCAATGTCAATCTTATTATCACTTTGATCTGATTCTAACCTTCCATCATTTTAGACTAACGAGGGCATCTTCTCAGTTCATAACCTTCGTTTTCAGTGGTATTATGTTCATTGATAGAGAAGAATGTCTTAGTAAAAAGTCTAAAAGGATTTATGCCCATGGCACTACTTTCAAAAGTAATGAACTTTTTATCTTTGCCCTGGGAAGGGAAATCCTATATAACGCTAAAAATCTCATATATCCGTAAAAACAGAGAATTAAGAGCTAAAATTATTTTATCTAATTGTACTAGTAGTCTCCTTTGGTATTATAAAAAATGTTGACTTTCCAGTTTGTTTACTTATTGAGTTGCTGAACTTTTGCTAGATAGCGCCTTATATTTCGCTTTATGTTGGGGTTTTCAGAGCAAATGAACTAAAGTCTTTTAGCTGACTGATGAATCCTTGAAGAGTTTACTCAAATATGACTGGATATATATTTCCATCTCATTCCTTTTAAAGTTAACTTAGGCTTGTTCTGTTGCTATAATTATTTATTTTTTCTCTTGACAAAAATTATTGTACGCTTGAATTGAACAACATTAGATAAAAGTCTTTATTTTTGAATAGTTTTGTCTGGCGAGTATTAGAATTGTTGATGGATCAGTCAAGAATTTCAATGGTTCTCATTCAAAGACAACAACAATTGTAGGCTGCTTATTCTTCTGATTATTCAAAATACCCATGTAAGAAGTTATCATAGGTATCTTTTTTTAAAAGTTTATCAAAAAAAAGAATCATTATCGTCAGCACCAGTTAAACCCCAAAAAGAAAAGAAGTACTACGGAAATTTACCAAAGATGATATCCAAAAGTTAGCGTTAATCAATTGTGCAAAATAATTAGGACAATTTCATAGAGGGAAGATTAGTCAAGAATATACTCAAACATTTCAAAAGAGTAGGCATATTAGCGAGCAATTCAAAAGAGTTTTCATATAGAGATAAAAAAATTCTCCACGGAAAGGATCTGGAACCATAGTCCTTCTGGGACTGGTTAAAAAAGGATGATTAGATCTTAACTGTTCTTAATATTTTATTTTACAACAATGTCTGAAATTATTTATACAAAAAAAATCCTAAAGACAAAGAAATGATTAATAGGGATAAAACAGCGAAAGAAAGCAGAGAATGTAGAAAAAATGAAAGAAACGAATGATGTAGAAGCAAAATTCGAGCAATAAACAAAAATGAAAGTTTGATTACTCAAATATTGTTGTGAAAATTATGTTTCCAGTCTCATTTCAGTTTCATGTACTTTTTTAGTTTCGGTAGAACTCAACTTTTTTAACTGCTTTTATTTTTGTTGTTTACACTTTCAGTTTGTTTCTTTTTTGAGTAAATATATGTCTTTTTCAAAACGGGTAAACATCAATTAATTGTAACGTTATTTTAATAGTATACATCTGACATCCGATCCATTTTATTGAACTCTGATTTATACAGCAAGTTTATCAGGATGTAAAGACTGATTCATCATAAGCATTCAGTTCAATGAGTCACTTTTTCTGAAGCCCGTTTTATAAGAGAGTCTTTTGAAAACCAACTAGGACCTTGAACAATTTTCATTCAAACGTTTCAATTTTTCTCATGGGGAAATAACCCATAGTATATTCTGTGGTGGGAGTCAGCCGAAACTCTGTTTCTTGTTGATCTAAGTTGGGCATCAAAAGTGTCCTGATGTCGGTATGATGTGAATAAGTAAAGTAACAGTAAAAGTAAATGGAAATATGAGTTATTAACCATGCTAAATCTGGTGACACTGTTTTCTATTTGAAGAAATTGGAAAAAGCTACGAAAAACTCACTTTTATAAAAAATTTCCAGTTCTGTCACAAGTCATCTAAATAATGTGATACAGTTCAACATGGTAATTCTTTTTTTTAAACGTCTGCCTCTGGAGATGAAGTTTTCTTGAAAAATTTCTGTAAGTTGACTTATTCATTACAAGCAATATTAAAGTTGTTATTCAATATATCCAACAAACATCAGCTTTCAAAACTGTATAATATACGATTCAATTGTTCCCATTCATTTCATAAGCTTTTCTCCTTCTACGTTTCTCTTTCTACGTTTTAAGCTGATCATGTCTATTGTGTAAATTTTATATAACTTTCTATTAAAACATATTAATCTGAAAAACGATGGTACATTCAAGTTCGTAAAAAGACATTTTAAGATTTGTCTTTTCATATCGCTTCTGGCTCAAAATAAATCGACTTGAAACTTTGTTTATCAAATGAATTCGTTAGATTATCTTTTTTTTTTAAGATATATATAGCAACATTACGGAACGAAAACGCATTTCTTTCATGTGAAGGTCTGCAAGCTGAAAAAAAACATTATTAAATCATAGTTTTTTTTTCTATAACTCTTATGTGCATAGTATCTAACGACAAAATCATGAAATTTTACTTTTACTAATAGTGTATAATATTAAAGAAAAGAGTATTTCACTGATTAATTTCATCATTTGTTTCTTTCTATGAGTTAAAACACGTTGTTATTCCTATTAGTTATCTTAATATTTATGTATGTATATTCATATCTTCTAGATTTGGATAATAGTTATTTTCTTCGATATGTCATACTCTACCACACCACCATGAATGGTAGCGTATGATATATCGAAGCGCGCTAATTATGTATCAATCATAGGTAGTTCCATCGCACAACAATAAAGCGTACTTCTTATCCAATTTCCAACCTGTATTCAGCCTAGACAAACAAGTACTTGTTTCGTGCGGCCCATAGTTAAAAATATCTGAAGCACTACATCATAGGAACAACGTAAAGAATCATATGTTCATGTTGCAGATAATGTTATATCTTTGAAAAAATGTAATTTTTCTATTTTATTGTGAATCATTACGTAATAAAATCTCAACATATGAAAACAAAACTATGAGTTCTGAGATTCAAAAGCGATTTTCTAAGAAAAATTGTGCAAATTGTTATTAGATTAGGTTAAGAATTAAAATAACAGACAGAATCAGATAGCTGAAAGTATTTTTATCGACATCAGATGCCTTTCAGCTCTATAAAGCGCGTAATTAAAACGTTACATTGATTTTACCGAAAGTCCCTAAAAATAAGACATCTGTTTGATTGTATATCTCAAAATCGCTTTTTTCATCTCAACTTATTCACAGGTCAGGTAGTTTTTTTGACAAGGTCAAGTTCGGTTTTCAAAGTGGTATTTTCTCCTTAGATAACAAATGTTTTTAAAAATGTGTTACTTCTATGCACTATTTCATATTCAATAGTGTAATCTGCTGGCGCCTGATTATTGTTATTCAATTAAACAAATCAACATTCTACTTAGGCGAACAGCCGAGGTTAACTTTAAGGATCTTGAATCAATGAATATGAAAGCTCGATAAGATAATTAACAAGCTTTAATCTCATTTTACTGTTGTAAAAGTGACTATATCCAGCAATACTTCAACGACTTATACTGTGTATAGAACATTTGCACATCCACAAAAAAACGTCAGTTCCTTCTAATATATACTGTTTGAAGTTAAAATCGGTGGCATTAGAGTTTATCATATACAATCGATCTCTTTATGACATGATTTTTCCACTGGTCATTTTCATTTTATTACATCTCACGAAAAAATATAAAAAGTGGCACAAAAATAAATGCAAGTTTTCTTCGTGTCTACATCACTTTTCTTTTTTCGTCATCATGTTTTATAGGAAAATAGACGGATCTCTCTCAAATATATACTATACAACGCATAATTTCTAGAAAAAACAAAAATATAATGATTTTGGATCACCGGAAAATAAAGAAAAAATGAGTAAACTAACTTTGAATACATACACAATAAAATAACAGAAATAACATCACAAATTAGGCAAATCTGTAATGTCAAATGAACAATCTCCAAATGTATTTCGTTCAAAATTTAATATTGTTTCAACATCACAATCGAGTTCATTCGGTTGTGGTAATAACTCGATTTCCATTGATGATTGCTGTTGCTGTGATAATAATTCGTGTCGAGTAAACGGTGTCATATTTATCGAAGACAAAGGTTGTGTCATGACTGGCTGCTGAAACGAATTATGCAGTTGCTGCTGGTTGTAGTCCATTGGTTCACTTTTAAATGATGTGATCGGTTGAATGCAACTGTACTGTGATGTTGAATAATTATCAAGTTCCTGTTTAACAGATTGTAAATCGATGTTAGATTCTTGAGTTAATTGTTGTCGATTGTTCATCGTTTTATGTCGTAATAGAGCGACCAAAAGACGACGAAATATTGGATTCGATCGATCTATATTCATTAGTTTTTGTAAATGTTCAGATGTTAACTGTTCTAAACCACTGGCCAATATCATATTACTTGGCGTTAATGGTTCACTTTTCAGAACTTTTTCAGTCACAGCTGGTGGTGGTGGCGGTTTCGATTGTTGGGTGTAGGGTGGTGAGAGTGAACGCGGTGTATCAATGAGACTAGATGAAGGCGATTGAATATCACTAAATGGAGATTTTGTTAAATAAGATGTTGATGATGAACGATTACTGTCCATTCCTAGAACGATAAGAATAAATATTATGTGAACTGAATAAATGTGTACAAGCAATTCACTTTACCTGAGTAACCGCTACTACTTCTACTACTTGTACTTGATGTACAGCAATTTGGATCCGATGTACATGTGGGTGGTGTCAATGACAACATTTCAAGAAGAATTTTTCCATTTTGCTGTGGTGATTGTTGTTGTGGCATAGTTGATGATTGTTGTTGTACTACTTTTTGTTTCGTAGAAGATTGAAATAGATTATTCTGATCCTCATTATGTGAAGATGACTCTAAAAGATTGTACAATGATCGATTCACATCTCGAACAGATGTTAATTTTTGAACTTGTACTGGTAGACACTGCTGTTGTTGTGCTTGTTGTTGAAAAGCCCGTTCCAAGTAAGAGATAGATAAACCGACATAATTATTTTCAATTGCCGATGAATCGGATAAACTTTTCCGTCCTTCTCTACTAGATATGAGCCATTGTGGTTGATTGGTTGAGCTACTACATTCTAACAAAGCATTTTCAGATGCCATCGGTAACTCTAATTCAGTATTATCAAATGGCATATTCAAATACGTCTCGAACTGCTCTTGATTGTCGAATGTTGAATTCAATAAATGGTCGGAGGATGACGAAGGTATTGGAGATGTACCTCCATCCGAAAATAAATATAGTTCATCTACGGCATCGAACCCATTAGTCGACCTTGTGAAATCATGAGCAACAGGAGTTGTCACTGATGATGCTGACTTGGCTGTTTGTGTACGACGTCTAGCGGTAGTAGGTTTAGTGGTTGTTATTCTCGTACCACATTCAGATGATTGAATACGTCGTCTACCACGAACTTGTTTTGCTCTTGGATCAACCGTCCACCAACTACTTTTACCAGCTATTTCATTTGGTACACGAACAAAACGATTATGTAATGATAAATTGTGACGAATAGAATTCTGAAATATTAAAAAGTATACACATTTCTATTTTAAAAATGATTCAAAAATTCCAGGCCATTTGAAGAATGTGGAATATGAAATCTTTACCGTAATCAAAGTGATTGTATACCGACGTTTTTAGATTTAGAGAGATATCAGATACATTACATTTAGAAAAATTAATACACACCTTCCATCCAGACGATGACTTTCTGTCGCCTTTATCCCGAAAATATGGCACATATTTGACCATCCATATGTATATTTGAGCTAATGTTAATCGTTTCTGATGACTATTTTCGATAGCTTTTGCTATTAGTTCAGCATAGGACAAATTTCCCCATGCATTTTTTCGATTTGTCTGTTGCTCATCAAGTCCCAATTCTTTCTCGATGTGAAGTGACAGTTGTTCATCGAAATTACCATCAGAAAATAAATCATTAATATCTGTATTGGTACTGTTCTGTTCAGTTTCGTTTAAAGAATCTTTTGTTAACAACCATTCTTCTTCTTCCTTCTTAATTTCATCATCAAATCGATCTAAGTCATAATCGACTGTTGTATTCACTGAATGTCGTTGTGTATAACTTTGATGTCCTTTAGTTTTATTGTTGGATGTTGACGAATCTAATGAACTTGGTGGAGGTGTAATATTCGAGGAAGAGTATAAACGAGTTGAATGAACGCTTGGAAGCGAATAATCAGTCAGTGTAGAGTGCGCATTAGGCGCACGCATTCTCAACAACACGAAGCAGAATGATGATAACCTGAAAAACAAGTAAAATACTATTAGTTGACTTTAGTATAAAATAGAATATATACTCAAGCGACCTTGATAGATATACTTATGACAGTCATTTGCGTCACGTAGTACGATTTGCACTAGAGGAATAATAATATTGTGCACGTTGAGTTTAAGGTATGTTTTCTTGTATCTTTAAGGTCATCCAATGAAAAGGGATAATAAGTATCCGGTATTCGCACTCGTCGATCATTTCTTAGAGACTACCGTTGTTGTTTTGTATGTTAAAAGGGAGCATTTTATCAAATTTATGAAAAGAGATAGGTTTCTATTTCTTCTATTTCTTTTTTTCGAAAATTAGTGTGCAAACTGTTTCTACGAATCTTTTATATATATAACGAAGCTTCCCTGCTAATCACAATTAAATTTAAAATATCAGACTGATAGAATCAACACCCTTTTCTGATTCTATCCACGTTTCATTTCTCTCTATAGTTATTACATCGAAAACAGCTGTTGAATAGAAAAGAAGTGCTTTTTTTGATATAATAAAACGTTAATCAAGAGTACTTTTGGTTGACATGATATTAATCTCAGCATATAGATTACGTATCTTTTTTTAGAGATTAAAACTCATTTCTGACTCCAACGTTTATACATGGCGTGAAAGAAAACAGAGAACAAAGAAGTATAAATAAATTTAAGGATATATAACCTAATAATGGTGATGACATACAATTAGTTTTATCTTCACGATTAATGTACTTCTGTCAAGTAAAGAACAGTATACGAGTATACATAAATTGTATCTATCCGTTTTTCTCCACTTTTGTTCTACGACTATTCATTTCTAGACTTTATTATCACTATATGAATATTATGGATTTAAAGAAGAAAAACAAAAAGGCAAACGATAGGAAAAATATCTGTCCTGGAAAGGAAAAAGTCTGTTTTTGTTTCAAATACATTGGTGATTGACACCCTCACCTTCACATCCCACCTTCCACTGTGTTTTACGCGAGCATGGTCAAATCAGTGTCATAAACATTTTTTGTCCTATTTTGCGTGTCAATTGTATTATCGTCAATATTTTCAGAAGCTTTTTTTTAAATATGATTATACATGTCTGAAAATGTTAAATTTGAAACCATACTTGTATTTGTTTTGTACTTAAAAGTATACACATTGATAAGGAATTCAGAAAAGTGTTTATTTTCGTTGATAAACAGGCGTATCTTAGTCTTAGATTGCTGGATATTTATAATTCGTTTATCAAAACTCAATTTTTTACCAGATACCTTGGCATATACGAAAAATTGATTGCAATTTTATCATTGTAAGAGAAAATTTTACAGTTATTTAAATGTCATCATTTAGTTTCCGCTGTAGTTTCTTCATCTGACAGGCATATATACTTCCCGTGAAGCTGTGCATTCATCATCAACTAATTATTTGAAGATAAAAGAAAATGATTTTTTAACAAAGAGCAAGTGTTTAGTAGAGCAACAGAGACGTCATTTGCTTCTTTTGAGGTCATTATGGTCATAAGTACACGTTATGTATAAAAATTTTTGTAATTAAAATAAGAATACAAGTAAAATTTGTTGTAGTACGATTAATAATCATAATAATTCTCTTGAAATAAGAACTTACAAAAAAAATTATGCAATTAAAAATCAAATATCTCAACTTTAGATTTTCAAAGATACTTGTTGACTTTTCGAATAATGTCAAAATCAATTGAATAATTAAAGAAATGTATGATAAATAACGGATGATGTAAAAGTTTTTTGACGCAAATATCGAACACTATTTCATCGTGTTTCCAAAATATACTGACCACTTTTCTTCTTGTTTTTACTTGACAAAGTAAATAAAATGTGACAGAAATAAATCTTTCATTCTGAAGTAAAACTAAACGCTACCAAAAATACTCTTGCAATATTTTTTTTCGCCAGTATCATATAAAATCATTTCTTACTAAAACAAAAAATATACGAAAAAATAATATGTAAAAGATTCTATCAATTTGAACTAGAAAAAATAATTCATCTATTAATTTTAAAGTTGATAATTAATACTAAATGATTGATTTTCTAACGGTGATAAGACAAATAATTATTTTAGAGAAAATATTGAAAAGGCTAAAATGATACGACTTTTTTCCTGATATGAGATTAACAAATTTTCAATATTAGTTAACAAAAAAGATCGACTAAAAAAGCTCTTAGATCGATTCGGGATTAACTCAAACATGTGTCAGATTCATACCAAAATGCTATTTCTAGAAAAAATATCAACATATCATCTGAAAATGATATTTCTTTTATTATCTTTCATAGACATCTCGTAAAACTAGACGTTTTAATTTCTTTATAATTTTTAATTTATAAAAAATAATCTCTTTTATCGCGAAAATGTATAAACAAGCGGATCCGTTTGTCTGTTATATATCTAAAAGAAAATCTCAAATACTCTTTGATACAAATCATTTCGCGATAAAAGAGATCCGATGAAAATATGAGGAGCGGATGCTCGACATTTGTTCGTATTAGTCTTATTTGTACTATAATACTAACGACTTACATATCTCTATGATCTTTCTATTTATCAACTTTCGTACATACAATTGTAAAATTTGAGGATCTTCATTAAGATTTCTTTTTCTTATGTAACTTATGTTACTCACTCTCGGGAGATTTTGACCTTAAGACGAACGACAATAGACTATACGCTATTTAAATATTTTTTTCGGCTAATTAACACCTCATTTTTCATTTCCGTCATTAAGTGCAAATATATATACTTTTTTTCTTTCAAACTAGTTATTAAAATAGTAACTTATGATTATTGTCCTCTTACTAATGAAGTTACCTTTTTTCTACGAAGAAGTAGACTTATTTCTCGTTTCTATTTACCTTTTTCTTGGCTCTTTTGTCTTCAACAAATAAAGACGACCTTGATGGTATTTTGTAATCGAGCAGATGGAGTGTAATTTTATACAATATTGTTACCAAAAAAAAAGAGAAAAAAAAATACGAAAAAAAAATGTTCAAGGTTTTTTTTTTTTCTTTTCTAGCGCTTCCCTTTTTGTTTTGATGGTGTATTATACTTTCATACAGTAGAGAATCGATTAGAACTGAGTGGATATGTCAAACGGAAGAAGAAAAAAAAAAAGAAGACAATTACTGCTGAAAGAATTTTTTTTTTTTTTCGCTAAATGAATTCTGACCGTATCATTCATAATAAAATGGCACCGGCAGTACACAACACCCATTTTTCGACACTACACTCCTTCTATAGGCGTACCTATAATAATAATAATAATAATAATAATATGATACATGTTTAGGGAATTCGAAAATTTATATTAAGGAAGAGCTCGTTTTCTCTTGAAAACATTGCACTTTAATCTTTTCAGGGTCATGTGAAAATAAAATTACGTTTTAAAAATAAAACTTTAAATATATAAAGAATAAATTTTAGAATGTATATATTTGTTTAAAACAAAAAACTTTTATTTTTACAATTTTTCTTCTAAGCCATAGTACATGAAGGCGATATAAGTGCTGGTACGAATATATAGGATCTACATAGATCATAAAACTCTTTGAGAGAATCAAAAAATATTTTTAATGTATAGGAAAAAACTTGAAAATAATGATTTTCTAGTATAAAAACTGAGAGATGAACTAAACTATCAAGGTGTATCAAAACTAAAATAGCGTAAACGATGTCAATGACCTTCAATGATTCTATATGTTTTTATTAAAAGCAGTTATGATCTGTTTCATGAAAACACTATGAATAAATCTTAAAAGTCTAAGAGAAGAAGAACAGCACATTTTCTAAAATGATTAGAAAAGTTTTTTTTATAATAATTTCGACTATTTTCATAAAAAAATTTATTTAGAAATTAAAATAAAAAGTTAATAATGGCTATGTGTTTTTTACCTACGTTGTCATACACAACAAAAAAAAAAAAAAGAAGTATATGACTGTTGTCCTTGTCAATATAGACAAAATAATTTAAGACCAAGGTCAAAAAATATTTTTTACTAGCAAAATTATTTTTTTATAACCATGGAAAAAGCGAGTTTAAAGTTTCTCGAATGTATCATCTGATCGTGTTATCAAAACAAAAGGGCTCATTTATTCTAAATAAAAATAGTTTCTAAATGAGAAAAAGATTTTCTTTTAAAGCACATTATCTTACGCAATAAATGAGATATTCGAGACTCTTAAGTGTCGAAATTAAAAACTCTATTCATAATGTTTTAACATCTTACAGAAAACAAATCGCCTGCGGTTAGGAATCAACGTAGAAAAGTTGTCTAACCACAGAAATACAAAGTATTGAATGAAGCTTGACTTAACGAGTCTAATTACATATTTTTATTCATTCATAAAAGTGTATGATACACGCACTTGCGGACAAGTATCAAGGTCATCATGTTAAAATAGAAAGAAGGAAAAAACGCTAGTATACTATTACATGATAGTACACACAGTCGTTAAATTGCATAGTAGTTCTCTAAAAAAATGAGCAACAAATTCATTGATTATATCTAGCTATTATAACTAAAAGAAATATTTTAAGAAACATAAATAGAATTTTAATCAGCTAATGCGTGTTTTGATAGTATTTTTTCAAAATATCATATATATTTGATCGAACTTTATTAAAACCAATTTACTTAATTCAAATGAAAACGAAACTTCTTTCTATTTTATTTTTCAATGTAAATCATTTGTTTCCGTGTCTGAAACATTTAACACTCAAATACACGCAATTATTTTCAGAAGAATCAATACTAAATGTAATCCAACATTTCGCTTTTAGAGCCGATTTGATATTAGATTCATAGTACAATTTTAAAATAAATATTTATTTTCGTATATAAATTGCCTGTTGTAGTAACATTTTTCTTTCAGAAAACTGTTCCCAAAGGTAAAACGCGTTTTCATCTGTCGTAGAATGAGTCCAAAATGTG